TGATGAGAAGAGTTCCTGTAGCTTTAAGGAATGAGACATGGAGATGTAGGAATTCGATGAGTTCCTTTAACTGTATGCAACACAATATGAAGATAGTTTGATGATAGCATTCCTGTACCTTTAAGGAATACAATATGAAGATAGTTTAATGAGAGAGTTCCTGTAGCTTTAAGGAATACAATATAGATGTAGTTTGATGAGAGAATTAGTGTAGCTTTAAGGAACTTGAGTAGAAATAAATAAGTTGTCTTGATACGGAATGTTGTATAAGACTACTCCTTGTAAAAGTTCATGTATGAAAATACAATAATAGATTCCAATTAGTAGAACTAAGAAGGCACGTAATGAAATTGAAGTGCCAGTAGAAAGGAATTATCCAAATAATATAACTTGCGTTTGTTTGGTGAGCTTTACGAAGCCGGAAGTATTCCAATGGCAATCCGAAAGTCAATGGGAAGGAGAATGGAGATCAACGGGTTCAACAGTTCAGGTTCGGTACACGCAAATAGCAGCTTAGCGAGATATTGTTTGTAGCCGGTCTGATGATCAGGAAGCTTCAAAATAACTAAGCCCTTTGAATCTGGCACGGTTCCTCTAAGTAGCGTGAGGAAGCCGCATCAGAAAAGGGGCCCGTCATCAGTCCGTGAACCCGGAAGTGTCTGATATCGGCAAAGCCGCTAGATAAGTTCTGACACAAGAATTTTCATTCACTCCTCACTGACTCAGAGGACATGACTAGAAAGTGCTGTCCTGAAACAAAGTGGAGAATAGGATGAAGGGGCACACTCATAAGGCCACTTCTCCATGCTAATTCTTCTTGACTTCTCTGCCACCTTTGACACTCTTGATCGTATCCTTCTCCAAACTCTTGGAACCTGTGACACTGTCCTCTGGTGAGTTTCCTCCTATCTCTCCCAATGTTCATTTAGTGTCTACTTTCCCCAATGACACTGTGCAAATGAAATAGTATATTAGCTCAAACAAAAAATTTGTTATGAAAACTGCTGTGCCACTTTTGATACATACCTCATTTCTCCATTAAACTTGAGCATTCAAAAGATGAACGGTGAAATGCAAAGCTTAACAAAATAAATGAAGACTGAATTGCTTGCTGAATTAAATTTTGTTCAAATAATTAAATAATTTGTTTATTTCTTTAATTGCAAGAAGGGAGTTACCAGCTCCCTCCTTGTAATTTGATTACAAACGCCATAGGTGATGGATCCCCAAATTGTTTAGTTCTACATGACATTTTAACTGTGAATGTCATAATACTGTTTGCTTTTACTGCAATAAAATACACAAATTTATATTCAGCGATGTCTCACATGTAAAACAGTACCCCCTATGTACAGGTTTTATGGTGTTTTGGGAAGTTGCAGGGTCAAATATAGCATGTTACATTTTTCAATTTTTTCACATTGAAATTCCAAGGTATTGCAAATGGGGTATGCCCAGTCTTTTTTAGTAGCCACTTGGTCACAAACACTAGCCAAAGTTAGCGTTATTATTTGTTTGTGTGTGAAAAATGCAAAAAACCCATTTGAACGCCAATTTTGGCCAGTGTTTGTGACTAAGTGGCTACTGAAAAAGACTGGACATACCCCATTTGCAATACCTTGGGTTGTCTACTATTGCAAATGGTATGCGATCGTGGGGGTAATTTTCATTCTTGGGCTACCTTACGGTCTCAAAGGCAACTTAACCAATCTGGTGAATTTCAATGTGAAAAAACTGAATCGCAAGACTGTAATTTTTGAAAACACCTTAAAACCTGTACATGAGGGGTACTGTTATTCTCGGGAGACTTCGCTGAAAACACATATTTGTGCTTCAGAACAGTAAAAACTATTACAGCAATAATATCGTCAGTGTAAGTGCCGTTTGTGTGTGAAAAATGCAAAAGAACTTCACCTTCACTGAGGATATCATCGTTCTAATACATTTTACTGTTTGGAGACACTAATATTTGTGTCTCTCGAGTAAAAGAGTACCACCATGTTCAGGTTTTATGGTGTCTTGGAAAGTTATAGGGTTAAATATAGTGCTAGCAAATTAAATTCCCTGGACTTTTGCCCTGAGTTGTCTGGCAGATTGCGCAAATTGTAATTAATAAAATGACCTAGTTATGGAAAAATATTACATACATATATACGTAGAATTAATATATATATATATATATATATATATATATATATATATAGGGGTTCGACTTACAGGATTTTGGACCTACTAGTTGTGCCGAGAACGGACTGTGCGGACGTCGGAGGGAGGCCGTGGAGCGACGGACTTTTGGAAGCGCTTAGGAAGCGAAGAACCAGGAGACCACAAGGGAACACAGGTACGAGAATCAAAATGGCGGAATGAACCGGAAGTAATCCTCTCAGATTCGCCAGACCATCAACGGTAAAGTGGGAGAGGTTTGGCCACCCCTTTAAGGGGACTCAAGCCCCTCCCACAACTACAGGCCAAGGCCTTCACATATATATATTAATATCACAATACAGTTAGAACGAAATACCACATATATATATATATATATATATATTTTTATTTTTATTTTTATTTTTTTTTTCATTTAATTTTTTTTACGTATTTACATTTTTTTATATTATATATAAATATATATAATTATAAATATATTTAATTAATATCATTCTATGTGTATTTTGATAGTAATATATAGATATTAAAATACACTTAGACAGTGTATGTGTGTGTATGTTTAAATGTATATATATATATATATATATATATATATATATATGTGGCGAAACCGACCTCACCACTGGGCATTGGAGAAGACTGATTGCCAGCCTCCTGCCATGTGACTATGGCCCCTGGGATGTATTGCCCTTTAAAGACATGATTTGGGCATAATGGATTTGTGTTGTGCTGCTGCTGGCCCTTTTAAGAACCATCTGGGGACATACGGTGGAGTTACTGGGTGGCCACCATTTCCTGTATCAGAAGCACATGGTGAGAACAATGGATGGCGGCCATTTTAACTCACAGACACTGTTTGGACTTTTCAAGACGATGCCATCTCGCCAGTATTTGGTGTACGGAGACATCGTGCAGTGGTTTTGGACTATACAGCAGGGGACACATTATACAGTGATTGTTCTTCATTTAGCCTGTATATGTTCTGCAGAATCTGCATTAAACTGTATTTTCCAAAGTACTGAACGGATCGGGGTGAATTTTGGATATGTGGTTCACCCAGATCCCCCGGTTCCAAGGATATACTTGTTATGGGGTTATTGCATGTTTTGGTCCTGTGATGTGTGTTATGAAACTGTATTTCTCTGTCTGTGATAATTAGATTACCCATTGTGTAAGGTAATTGTATTACAGGCAGATGGGAGCATTTTGTGTGGGAGTGTCTGTGTGTATTGTACAGATTGATTGGTTGTTCAGTAAAACCATGTGGGCAGTACTATGTTTGTGGATTGGGAATAAAAAAGGGCTGTATGTGCCAGTCCAGTCAGTTCCTGCTTAACCCTCAAAGTGAAGTGTCGTCTCATTATTGGGGAAGGATTTATTGTATGCTGTTCCAGTTTGACTGCTAGGAGTGTAAACCCATCCACATGGTTTTTCCTATTCGGCTGTATACAACATTCATATGCTTGAGAGCATTCATATGCTTCTCTGGTTCGGTGGTTGTGGTGTCTGCTTCAGTGCTTGGAGTCCTCAGGAAGCGCTAGGAGCATCCTTCAACGGAGGTACCCAGTCAGGGTGCCAGGTGATCCGTTACAATATATATATACTTAGATCATATATATGATCTAAGTATATAGTATTTAATTTTTAACTGTTTTAAACTTTCATTTTACATTTTACAGCCAGCAGGGGGACTACCCGTCATTCCAGGCAGCCCCTCTGCTGGCAATGCTTTGGGTAGCTATGCCCAGGAGGGCCGGATCGGAAGCAAGGGGACTCCCTTGGATGCCAGGTGAGTCCCACCACCGCGATCGCCGGCATGGGATCGCCAGTGACCGGGTAAGTATTAAGGATGCCGCCCACTGGCGATTAGGACAGGGTCCCCTAGGATGGCATAGAACACCCGTCGTCTTTAAGGGGTTAATAGTGTTGGTCTCCTTATGTGAGATTTGCATAAGAATAAATAATGGAGCTATTTACTAAAGATCTCCTTAACTTGGTGCCCTTAAATATGGCAACCCAACATTTGTGTACCAGTTTAGGGAGTTATCAGCTAAACAGTTGTAAGATGGGTCACATAATTTCATTAGTCTGAATTAAAGTCTTACTGGAAAATATTGTCTGAATTTTATCCAAACCAAACAGTACAAAGGACGACAGTTGGTTCAGATGAAGAAAACAAATTTTTTTGTCTGCATACATTTGGAAGAATCTTAATTTTATGGTGTGTCCAAGTCTATTGTCCATCCAGGAAAGATTAACCTCAAACTGTTGGTATGGAAAACGATCTGATGTGACTGTTTTCACAAATTATTTGTTTTATTTTTTTACCCTAAATTTTATAATTCAGTTTTTAATTTACTACAATTCTATGGAGGTTTTATATAAAAACTGTCACATTGATTAACTTTTCTGCCTGTTTTGTGTGAACGTTCCATTTTCTCATGTATAAAACTGTTACTCCAACTTTATACATCGGGGAGATTATTGTCAATCTTGTCTTTAATGCCCCAAAATGGCAAATGAGCCACAAACGTGCCAAGAAAATAAATTAGCACAACTTTTTATACATCTCCCCCTTTGTTTCCAGAGCAGTATAATGCAATATTGTGGTGACCTACCTGTAAACTTAGTATAAATTGTTCAAAGTCTAATAACCCTGTTCATTAAACCAGTTACAGCTGTGTGTGGGGAGGGGTCCTGACTATAAAGCTAATCACTAATGATAGAGATATATCTGGAGCCCTTTCCTGAGCCACACAAGCCAGAGACCCCAAAAGGATCCCTGCTGAGAGTCTAGAGAGTTTGGGAGCTTGTTTTCTGATCTCTCTCTGATAATGGATACACCAGGTAAGTGATCCTTGTGTTTTGGAAGCTCATTCTGCAGGGCTGTATATACTGAGCATTAGTAGAGAGTATCTCACTTTATAGCTGATTAATTCTGTGATGGTCTTAGAAGTTCCTCGCTGACTGTTACTGTTTGACAGAACTCATCTGTGATCTTAAAAGGGACACTATAGTCACCAGAATCACTACCACTTAAGGCAGTGGTTCTGGTGATGAAACATACAGGCTTTGCAATGTAAATACAATGTATTTCTTTTTTTACTCTCTAGTGCAGCCAATCAAATGGCCACTAGAGGTGCTTTGTGTCTACCCTCAGTCTCAACACTCTGTATGGTGATAGAGGTGTTACTCTAGTACCCAAACACCTGGGTTTAAAACCTAACCTTGCACTCTGTTTCTCACATCAGGGCTAAATCCTTTAGCTTTAATGTTGGTATTGACAAAGTGGAAACACTGTATTCTTGTTGGTGCTTCAAATAAACTATCTATATCCTCTTCCTTGGTTTCTTTGCTTTCAATCTGAGGAGATACTAATTGCTTCAGTGTTTGTGCAAAGCATACACACTAACCTCCTCCTAAATGATTTCCTATGGGGGGGTCATTGGATGGGTTGAGATCATCAAAACTGATCACATCCACATACTGGTATGGGAGAAAAGGTGAGTAAAATCACCTTGTTAGAGTGAGCCATGCAAGCATTAGAATCAGTAATCCATGTTTCTATTTCTTACCCTAGTGTTCCTTTTAAATAAACTCTCTGGATTAAAAATGTCTAACTCAAAATTTAACCTCAGCTGATCTGGTGACACACTTTCCTGTTTGGCTATATACATTTAAAATTGTGCATAATGCTGCTGGTATGGTAGCACATTAAAAAACCCAGGACAGTGGGACAGAACCTTAATACTGCATACCTCCCAAATGTCCCTACACTGCATAAATTGTTAGGAAGTCTCCTAAAACATCTCGCAACAGGCCAGCTCCTGGCCACACTGACACCTCTAAAACATGTGTCCTTCTTGGTCCATTTGAAATTTTTGCAGATAAAAAGAACCCTGTAATGTAGACCAAAAGAAATGGCTCCTGTTTGGAGCTCTGTGTTCTGGAAGGGTTGTTTCCTGTGCTGCTGGGGTTTTATTGAACCGTCTTAAATCCAATTTAAACCTTCAATATCTAGGCTTATGGCTTAAATCACTTGCAGTTGCACTTTCATATTGTGTTGTGGACTACCAATAGTGGCTATAACCTCTTCCTATTGACTTCCAGATACCCTCCTGTTTGCTGTGAAGGATTATGTTGCCAGAGCTGGATTACCACCCAAGAATCTTCTGGATAGCTTTGATGCCAGATCTAGCATTGTAGGGAAACTGAATAATGTCAGTAAGATTGCCTTTAACCCAGAAGGGGTGCTGTTTGCTGTGCGTGGTAAAGAACTCTTCATGGGAGCTATGCCTTCAGATCCAAACCTGGACTTTTTCTCTACTGCCAAGAGAGTGGGCAAAACTGACTGGGAAGGGTTTAAATTCATCATCTTTGATCCAAATGGCCTTCTGTATGCATCTACCAAGAATGGGGAGTTCTACAAGGGTCCAGCACCAAGCAATGAAAACGTGTCCTGGCTTTATGGCCAAGCCACCAAAATAGGAACCGGCGGCTGGCATGAATTTGATGCCCTTTTCTTTGACCCTAAAGGCATCCTGTATGCAGTGACCAGTGACGACAAGCTTGTGATGAGAAGCCCTCCAACCAAACCAGACGATAACTGGCTAGCCTCCAGCACAACCATTGGAAAAGGAGGCTGGCGCATTCTGACCCATTTCATGGCTTTCACCCTAGAGTCGGACCTGTGGTGTGTGGATTCAAAGAATGGCAACATCTATAAAGGACCAGCACCGACCAAGGCTGATACCAACTACATTGAAAAGGCAGAGAAACTGGGCTGGGGTTACAATGTCTACCCCCTCCTTTCCTTTACCATTGATAAAACCATCCAGAGTATTGTGAGCTTTGAATTCCTGCCAGATTCAGGGAAAATCCTATCCCAAGGCACAGAGGTGGTGCAGACCCAGATCTATAACAACAAGAGCAGCACTCCATTAAAGCACACCTTCTCGTAAGTAATGGAAACCTCAATCTCATCCACTCAGGGATCCCAATTTCAACTTGCCACTGGCGAGTGACACTTCAGCTGTGGCAAGCAGAAATTCACCCTCAGTGTTCCATGGATCCTTCAGGCTTGCAGTAGTCACTTCTAGGCCTGACTAATGGAATAGGACTTTAGCTCTGCAGGTGCTTCTACCTATTGGCAAGATTACATAGAGTACAGGATGGTGCACTATATACAATACTTTGAATACTAAAAGGTTGGTGGTCTCTCTACATTAAAATCCTTCATAAGTTACATGATTCTATACTGGCTGAATAGAGCATGGTGTCTGTGTTTTACCAAGGTTGAAGAAAGCATTGTTTACAATCCTAGGGCTACTTATTGGCAGACGGTGCTCTTTTATAATGCCTGTGTTGGTGCTTGTGACTTTTCTATGCAAAACAAAGGTTTAGGTGGTCCAAGAAAGGCAAGATTAATCAAACTAGATGACAAGCGGCAACAGTTTGACCTTTAAGGTCTTTCTCTGAATTGGAAGTTCGCAGGATAGATTTGGGAATATAATTGCCATTAGATGTGCTCTGAGGTTGTTCTGTTGAACAATTGTGTGTTCTGGATATACTGCTCTTACATTGGTCATAGTCTTCAACACTGCTGCCAGTCCTCCTTAATGAGTGAGCTTCACTTATGTGATGCTTTTTAATTGCACTCATTTTGTGATTGTGCTTCTAAAATGATGGGGTGTATCCCTTATTTGCTAGTTTGAGGAAGACCTTTTAAAGGTTGAAACATTGCTGCTGATCTGGTTTAATTAAACTTTCCCTTTATTTTTGGACCATGGAGTGCCTAAACCTATGTCTTTGCATACGGTATCTGGGATCTAGTGCTGGCCCCTGGTTTAGTTGTACCCTGGCCCAGAGTTATGGGATTGAGTGCAGTTCTGATTCTATTCAGAAAATGTCTCTTTTCCAGTCTTAAAATAGTTGCCAGCTTCTGCTACAGAAAGCCTGTCACTAATGGCTACTAGACTCCACTTGGCGACTGGTTTGTTATCCTATTACTCGTTGCTGGCTGCTTCTAGTCAGGCAGAAGGGGCATTAACCCTTCCTATTGAACAAGTCTTGTTCCAGTCCCTGACACAGGGTGAAGTTGCATTCTCAGGTGTTTCTGTGCTTTACCAGCAAACCACAACTGTCAGTCTGGGAACTTGTAGTTGCTAGAAGCTACTGGTTGCTAATGCTTGTCTGAGGTGAGCATGTCTTTTGCACAGGTTTTCCCTCACACTTTACTTCTGGATGGAACTGTCTGGTTATCAAGGAAAGAATTGACTTGTAATGGCAAATATTAGAATACCTCCAGGAAAACTGTCCAGGTGTCTGGTCTCAGACTACATCTTTGTCCTCCTGTTTGACCTGACTATTCATGGTGTCCTACCATGCACAATGTTTATTGGATTATTTATTATTTTTTTTTTTTGTGGGCCACATCCAAGTTCTTGACAAAGACCTCCTTGTTGGGTTGGAATGTTTGTCCTTTGTTTCAATAAACCTGCCTGTGGCTTTAACATCGGGGGAGGGGGGATTTTTTATAATTTTTTTTTTTTTTTTTTTGTTCTACTAGATTTGCTGTAGTGGGATAGTTGGTCCTGCACTGGGTGGCTGCATGGGGACTGAGTGCAGTTCCTACCTACCTTTCTAGCTTCAAACATGGAATATCCAGAAATCCTTGTAATTCTGTGTTGGGAGCTAGTTGCAGCCCAGAAATGTTCCATAGTGTGCACACTGGCAAGAGTTGGGATCCTATGCAACCTTGCAGGCTGAGTTTCTGCAAGAATAAGATCACAATATTCTCCTTCCAACACACATTGTGCTCCCTCCCATTACCCAGGGTATGTATGTCATAGTATCCAGTAGGGCATTCCCTTTCTCTCTTTCCCCTTCTCCCCCCCCCCACCCAATAAAGCGTTGGAGGCAAACACAACATAATTTTCCAATTCTCCTTTTTGAAGGAGACCCTGATATAATCTGGAGTGCCCCTAGGAAAGGGTGGTCAAAAATCCAGTGACTAGCTTAATATCGTCTCAGGCTATTCTCCTTCTCTCTCAATATATTTTTATTTTTTTTTTATTTATTTTTTTATTTGCATTTTATAAGATTTCACAGTCGTATTACAGGTATACAGGGTATGCAAGTTACATTCATGAGTACAACTTTTGAGCAACATGTATTGACAATGAGCTATCATATCTGTGTCTTGATGAGAGCCAGTTTGAAGCATACATATAATAGTGGTAATATAGGTACATCGTTAAACAAATTGTCATTAAACAGAGTATCCTGGCATTGCTGTCGTGCCCATATTTGTGTAGCTCTCCTTCTTGACCCTTAGTCGTGATGGTAGGAGTTTTCTCTTCGCTGTGCCAGTGTCGGTAATTGCTCAGTTGTAAAAATAACCCGCATCTTCCCTGACACCTAGCTACTATTCCAATGAACAGGGGAATATAAACTTGGGGCATAACCTGGGTATAATGCGGGGAAAAGAGAGGGGTAGAGGAGGGGAGGGGGGCAGGTATTGGTCCCTTAGCTTAGTCCAGCTTTTAGGCCTGTTCGTTGGCCTTAATAAATTGCACCAGTGTGCACAACCAGCTTAAGTAGGAGAGGGTAGTGTGTGCAGGCTTCCATATGGTCAAAGAGTGATGTTAAAGAAGGTTTAGGAAGGTTTGCTTAGTGCTCTTTCCTTAAAGCATTGACTCATGAGCTACCACACAAAGGTGTGTAGAGTGTTTAACTTGTCACTGCGTCTGTTGGCGTGTGTCCCATTTTTCCCACGCCTCCTTCCAAAATTTTTTGGGGGGATTGTTGGACCTGGCCATTATCTCATACTTCTTTATAGTTTCAATGTGGGTTATGCAGCTCTGTATGTTGGGGATCGTCTGCTTTTGCCAGTGTTTGCTGATATGCAACAGAACTGCCGAGATAATGTGATATATTAAGTATCGGGATGATTTTGTATGGCCTGGTGGCATATACTGTAGGAGGTAATGTTCGGGGGTGTGTGCGAGAGCTACGCCTGTAATGTTTTTAATTAGGGTCTGTGTTTCCGTCCACAATGGTGTCAGGATTGGGCATTCCCACCAAATGTGTAGCATGGAGCCTTGAGCTTTATTGCATCTCCAGCACAGTCCTGTATTCTTAGGTATCATATGTTTCAGTCGGGTTGGTACGAAGTACCAGCGATATAATAATTTCCTGGCTAGTTCCAGATGGGTTGTGCTAAGTGTAAGTTTTTTTTATTCTCACACAGTATATATGACCACTGCTCTTTTGTTAACTGTTTTCCTAGTTCAACTTCCCATGCTTTAACAAACTGTAGTGTATGTGGGTCTGGTACACTATAATGGCGATTGTACAGTATAGAGATTAGCTTGAGTGGCCTCTTCGTCTGTGTGCAGAGACTTTCTAATGCATTGAAAGTGTTCCACCTGTTTGCTGCAGGCAGTACTTTTCTATTTGTCTGCAGCCATGAGCTTATCTGTCTGTGCGCAAATGCTGCTGCATTGGGTAATTGGTATTTATTTTGCAGTCGGTTGAAGGGGATGATCTCTCCCTGATCAAACAACTGATTCAAGTATATTAGACCTCTATTGCTCCAGGACGATATGTTCAATGAAGGTATCAGACCATAAAATGACTCTAGGAGGAAGGCTGGTGATAGCCCCCCATCAAATCCTTGTTCCTTATTAAATCTGTCCCATTCTTGCAATGTTGTAGCTGTGAGTGGTGACATATCTTTATATTTTTTTCTAAGTTGTGGCGGTGTCCAGGCTAGGTGCGTTATTTTTTTTTTCCCCCCAGTTAGGTCAGCCTCTACCGTTACCCAAGGGGATGGTTTGTCATGTTGGTGTAATTCGTTGACCAACGGTGCGAGTATAGCTGATCTGTAGTACGTGGCTGTGTGGTAATCCCATTCCCCCTCCTTTATATGTGAGGTACATGATTTTTGCCGCTATTCTGGGTTTCTTATGGGACCAGACAAAGGTGTTAATCAATTTTTGTGCGTCGTGAAGGAATGTTTTTGAGAGCCTAATTTGTAACGTACGGAACATGTATTGCAGTCTCGGGAGAATTTTCATTTTGACTGCTGCTATTCTACCTATCCATGATATGTATTTCCCTTTCCAATTCGCTAGCTGCTGTTTTATGGATGTGAGGAGTTTGCCGTAATTTTCCCGATGTAAGTTCCTTTCTAGTCTCGTGAATTTTATACCCAAGAAAGTTAGGTGGTCTTGTCTCCATTCATAATGGTATTTCTGTTGCAAGGCTGTATACAGCAATGCAGGTGCATGCAGACTCATTGCTTGCGTTTTAGAACTGTTTAATTTGTAATGAGCAATTGCTGTACTGTTGCAGCAGATTCTGGAGTTCTGAGATAGAGGTGAGTGGGTCAGACAGGGAGAGCATTACATCATCTGCAAACATCGTTATTTTGTATGTTTTTATTTTTAATTTCCACACCTCTGATTTGGTTGTTATTCCGTATTGCTTGGGCTAATGGCTCTAACGCAAGAATGTATAAGGCCGGGGAGAGCGGGCATCCTTGCCGTGTTCCATTTGTGATAAGGAACGGCTTGGATACGAACCCGCCGTTCGCAACCTGTGCTGATGGCTTGGAGTATAGTGCTAATAGTAGGGATAGAAATTGTTGTGGGAATGCAAATTTTTGTAGGACAGTTCTCAGGAAGCTCCAGTGTAGTCTGTCGAATGCCTTCTCGGCGTCCAGGGACATAAAGACCCTGGGCTCTCCGAGAGGCGTCCCATTATAGAGGAGGCTGTGGAGCTTCCTAGTCCCGTCAGTCCCCTGTCGCCCCCTTACAAATCCCACTTGGTCCGGGTGTGTTATAAAGGGGATTATGGCCGCTACACAATTGGCGTATATTTTGGCTAATAGTTTCGTATCTGTGTTTAACAGTGAAATAGGCCTTAAATTTTTAGGTTGCGTGGGTGGTTTCCCTGGCTTTGGTAGCGTGGCTGTGTGCTAATAGCATTTCCACTGGCATCTTCCCTGTGTGTACGATATGATTCAATGTGTGTACTAGGTAGGGGCTCAGGATGTTCGAAAAGACTTTGTAGTAAGTGTTCGTGAAGCCATCGGGCCCTGGTGACTTCCCCGAAGGGAGTGAGCGAATCGTTTGCTGTAACTCTGTCAGTGTGATCGGTTCTATCAGGGAGTCCTGCTGTTGTTGTGTTAATTTTGGCAGTTTTATCTGCGAGAGGAAGTTATCAATTTCCACTTGTGTTGGCTGATGTGTTTGGGGATCTTTTGTTAGGTTGTACAGGTTTTGGTAGTAGGCTGCTGTTTCTTCATTAATGTCTATGGGGTTGTATATTTTCTCTCCTGTGCTAGTGAGTAAATATGGTATTTTGGCGTGGGCTTGGTGATGCCTCAGTAAAGATGCTAATCTTTTTCCCGCTCTGTTTCCCTGGGTGTAATGCTTCAGTTTGAGTGTTTGTAGAGTGCGCGCTGTTTTTTGAAGTAGATCATTTAATTGATTTGTAGTTTGTTCTATTTCAATGTCGAGGTTGGGGGTGGGGTGTAGCAGCTGGGCTGCTTTTAGGTCACGCAGTTTGGTCAGTAGTGTGAGGCGCGCCTGTTGAGAGGTCCTGTGTAGGAAGGACACTCTGCTAATGAGCTGACCTCTAATCACTGCCTTATGTGCCTGCCAAGATGTAGTAGGTGATATGTCAGGTTGGTTGTTAAGTTGAAAATATCTATCTCAGTCCCCAATTCCTTTTGAAAGGTGTCGTTGTATAGGAGGGTGTCATTTAATCGCCACAGGGTTTTCCCTCTGTGCTTGTAAGCATCCTGGGTTATGAGGGTTACCGGAGCGTGGTCCGACCACACTATGTCCCCTATGCTACTCTGTGTTGTGGAGGGCACCAAATCTCGTGACACCAATATGACGTCTATTCTGGAGTGGGTTCCATGCACCTTGGAGTGGAAAGTGTAACTTCTGTCACTCGGGTGATTTGTTCGCCATATGTCATATAAATTGTGGTCAAGTAAGAGCTTGGTGATGGCTTTGCATTGTGGTATTAAGGATCTATGTCTGGGAGTGTTAGGCGACACTGTCGTGTCCATAGTTGGTTGGAGAATATGATTCATGTCGCCACATATTATGATGCCGGCTCTGTGCTCATGGGGTAATTTGCTCAGCACTTTATGCAAAAAATTGCGCTGGTTAGAGTTAGGGCTGTATATGCCTACTAAGGTGTGTGTATATATGGCTCTGTTGATTTGACAGTGGAGTATTAAGTACCGACCTTGTGCGTCTGTTTTAATATTTAGCAGTTCAAAGGTAAGTGATTTGTGAAACAAAAAGGACACTCCCCTTGTTTTGGAAGAATAGGTCGTATGGTACTGCGCCGGATAATCTTGTTATCTTTGCGGGACTAGGGTCAAAAACTTGGAGAGGTGTAAACCGGGTAGAAACAAAAACAAAGTATATACATAAATGTGTCTTGGTACTGGTGGTAAGTACCGTGGGGGTGGAAACTAGCATGTTTCCGTGTCATGGCTATGGGTCTTCCGCTGTCTCTTAACCTTTGGAGACGGTCGGTCGCACCAGGCCACCTATGCAGTAAGTACTAATAGTCGTATAGGCTCTTGGTGTGTGTACATTTATATTGAGAAAGGGGATAAACGGTAATGGGACTAGGGGAGATTTTTGTCAGGCATAGTAGTAAATATATATATATATATATATATATATATATATATATATATATATATATATATATATATATATATATATATATATATATATATATATATATATCTATCTATATCTCTATCCACCCCCCTTGGGATATTTTCCCAGCCCTCGAGTCCATTGCAAGCGCCTAGGCATAATCAGATTTATACTTGCGTATGTCCAGCAGTTCATGCTTTGTGCCAGTCCAGTGGGGTGTGAGGCTCCGGTCTTTGGTGCATAAATTCCCAGGATTGTAGTTTACGGAGTCCATCTTCAGGTGATGTGATAACCTGGGTGGTGTTATCTTTCGTCACCAACATTTTGGTAGGGAAGCCCCATCGGAATCTGAGGCCATGAGCCCTCACGGAGTTGGCGACCTGAGCGAACTCTTTCCTTCTGCGAAGAGTAGACGCCGATAGGTCTGCAAAAATCAGCAGATTTGGGTAACCTTCTAGTGGTGTCGCTTTATTTCTGCTTGACTTGAGTATAAGCTCTTTGATATGATAATGCATTCGCAGTAGTACATCCCGCGGTGCAGTTTCTGGTAGGAACCGTGGTCTAGGCAGACGGTGTATTCGGTCCACGAGTAACATGTCGGTTGGTATGTCTGGAGCATAAGCGTTAAACACGCCTCTGACATATGCCTGCAGGTTCTCCGGCATAACATCCTCTGGGATCCCTCTAATGCGCAGGTTATTCCTGCGTGCGCGATCCTCTAGGTCAGTTATTTTATTTTCCACCGCCAGTAATTTTTGTTCCAGTTGTTCCACATGAGAAGCTATGTCATTGTGTGCTGTAGCAAATTCTGCCATCTTGTTCTCCATGTGGGAGGTGCGCTTGCCTAATTCTTGCATGTCCTTCCTCAGCGAATCCGCTGTATGTTGCCACGATGTAATTAGCTTGCTTGACAGGGTGTCCAGAGCTTGTTGTAAATAGCTCTTGGTGAGTATGTCAGGATCACTTTCCTGCAATGCTGCTGTGTTCTCAGGGCTGTCAGTAGCGGAGCCGCCATCTTGCGACCAGGCCCGAGCCTCCTCCGGTTCCTGGTGTGACTTGTGTCCAAAGAAATTGATTTTTTTTCCGCTTTGTGTGCAGACTTCTTGCCTCTCTGCTGTGCCATCTTCATTTTTTAAGCAGTTGTGCTGCCATGTTGCGTTCGATGGAGTCGGATTGCGACCCGTGTTGCCGGAGTGAACGGGTTACACGTCCATTCCTCTCGGCGGTTAGCCACGCCCCCCCCTCTCTCAATATATTAATGTGAAGGGTTTGTCTTTCTAGCTTCTCCAAGACCATAACTGAGAGCAGCACTTTCAGCCAGGAGCATGGATTCACAGTGGCTGTTGGTGCAGAGATGTCCTTCAAAGCTGGAGTCCCATTCATAGGAGAAATGGAGACCAAGATTTCCATCAATGTGAGCACAACTCATACCTGGAATTTCGCCAAGACCAATGAAATCCAGGTAAGGGTGGATTAAATAATGGTGGTGGCAAGGAATCAATATGTATGTTCAGATTTGGTATAGTTTGTTTTAGAACATGCTTTTGCCTTATTGGAGGGGAAGCAACAGGCATGGTATAATGTGTCCTGGCTCTACATGTAACTCACTAGCTAATACCTAATACAAGTTATGGGTTCCTTGACTCTCATCTCTGACAAAAGGGACTGTTTGTAAATTTGAGAAAGGGCTGCGTCCCAAAACAGTCCTATTTTATTTTTACTCCCACGTTAAATGCTATGGTAGCACACTAGCACCATATATTAACCTTTGCACATCTACAGACTCACAGCCACAGATATCCTTTGTTATATTGGAGCAGCTGTAACAAGCCACCCATTTAACAAGAACAGCTTAAGCTTTCCTGGCCAGTCTGTACACTATTGCCCAACCTTTACTTACAAGAGGTCAAACAATAGAAATAGCCTAAAGCTGCATCATGCTTTTTGACCCTTCTCTCAACCAGTTAATTTGTGCAATAAATGGATATTCTGTACAGGTAACATGTTCTTGACTATTCATGATGAAATATTGCTCCTGCTAGTATCTAACCATCTGACTTCTTCTGCAGACAACCTTCTCCTCCAGCACAGATGTGGAGGTACCAGGTGGGCATTCAATACGTATGGTCGCATCTGTGACCAAGGGAGAAATGGATGTACCGTTCCGTGTCAAGATCCGCACCTTGTTTGGCTATGAGACCATGATACAGGGAATGTGGAAAGGGATCAGTCACTATAACTTGATGGTCACCCAGGAAGACTACAAACCATGAGATGGACTGATCCTCTGTATGGAATACGGTCTTGCACAGACAAATCAAGCCCTACAGAATGCCTCTGGTTGTATAAACTACATCAATTCAATGTTCTGCCTTGGTTTAAAATAAAAACAAATTACAATCACTTGTTCCAATGTCTGTAGATCTGTTTACGTTACCACAGGTGGTGGTCTCAATTCTTGGTATCTTTCCTTATCCTTACTGTAACATCCCTAAATCTATGGACATTAGTGGTATGTGTAGCTCCACACTATAACAATCCTGGCTAGTAGCCTAGAGGTCAGCCAAATGACTTGCCAACTGGCACTCCATGACTACTGTATAATGCAGTAGGGGTTGTGTTTTTGCGGGTAAACTCTGCCCAGGGAATTGAGTGAGTCAATCAATGGCATGTCAAGGGAAGTAGCTTTTTAAACCTGATGAGGTCACATCATGCAGTGGTGTATTTAGGATCTGGACTAAACCCCAGTTAGGAAGAAGGACAACCTGTGAAGCTCATCAATTACTGTACATAAGGTATAAATGATATTTGACAAGGGTTTTTTTATTTTTGTCTCCTCTCATGCCTCCATTAAATCTTACTGTATTCAAGCCAGAAGCTGTAAATCTGCATGCTGTTAGACTCAGGGGAAAAACAAGCAGTCTGCTGACCTGTGATAACCTGATCCAATCCCAGTGCTTCCCCATAGGATTGGCTGAGGCAGAGCCAGCATGATTCAAACACATCCCTGGCCAATCAGCATCTCTCCTCTCCATAGATGAATGGAGACAAAGAATCTCTGAGAAAAGATCAGTGTCTGCATGCAGTGGGAGGAGATACTGAATCACAGGATGCTTGTGCACAGCAGATCTGAGTGGATGGAGGCATATTATGCCTCCTACTCAGGAGTCCCTCTGGTTCAATCTGAGTGACTGCAAATGGAGGTGTTCCTAGCTTTCAATGTGAACACTGTATATTCTTCAGAAAATAGTGTTTACATGAGAGGCTGCAGGGAGCTATAGTTCTCACCTGAACAACATAATTAAGCTGAAGTTGTTCGGGTGACTACATTGTCCCTTTTAACAAACGGCAATGATTATCGTTCAGGGTTAACTCCACTTCTAGTGGCTATTCATGGGGATGTCTAGCATCATGCAAAACTCCATAGGATAAACATTGTATAATACTTTCCTAAGGGGAAATCATAATGCGGCCATTTGAGGAGTGAAGGTGATAGTGAGTCAGCGCCGAGGGACGTAAGCGTGGACCTGGGTAAGTGACGGAAGGGACTTTTGCACCACAAGGTAAGGGCGCTTGACAGGGGGAAGCTATAGAGCGAGGGGAAAACTAGTTTGGTTTCCTAGCACTATAGTTTCCCTTTAATGTCTGTGTCTCTCTTCCTAAATGTCTCTTCACTGCAGTTCAGAGTTTAGGGAATAAATCTGAGGGAATGTAGTTGCATTCATGAGGGGGTGGCAAAATGGATTGTTGCCTAGGGTGGCAGGAATCCTTGCACCGGCTCTGCATACAGCAGGCCGTTGCGCTGCGGGTTACAGGGCAGTAGGTTTATGCTTGCATTCTCCCCTCTGGTGTTAGTCTCACAGTAACAGCAGCCGCTTCTGCAGGCACCGGAGCCGAACCCTAACAGTCACACAGTATACGTCAGGACAAACAAGGGGCCTCAGGACCTACAAGGGAGCACATGCCACAGTTTTAAAATCTGTTATTCCAAGATAGCACACAGCAGGTTGAAGGAGCTTGTTAACAAGCAATACTCATCATACAAAGTATGATGGTAGATTTCCTGAAGTCACATGAGTCAGAGAACCAAGAAATACCATTCACTCCTCGCTGAATCACAGGGCATGACTAGAAAGTGCTGTCCTAAAACAAAGTGGAGAATAGAATGAATGGGCACACTCATAGACGTGCGCAGCCTATTGCATTAGGGTGTGCACCCTAAAGCACAAGCACATGCCGCATATATATGTATGTATGTATATATATATATATATATACACACAGCTGTGTATGTGTGTGTGCGCTGTGTGAGGGTGCTATTAGTGTGATGTGTGTGTGACGGTGCTGGTAGTGTGCTATGTGGGTGAGGGTGTTTGTGTGTGCGTGCTTGTGAGGATGCTGTTAATGTGCTGTGTGTGTGCGCTAGTGAGGGTGCCATTTGTGTGTGAGGGTACTGGTAGTGTGCTGTGTGTGTGTTTGTTAGGGTCCTGTTTGTGTTTGTGAGGGTACTGTTAGTGTGCTGTGTGTGTGTGGGTGCTGTATATGGGTGCTGTATGTGTGTGGGTGCTGTGTATGTCTGTATTGATTAAAGAAATGGGTCGGTAACTAGAAACTAATGTTGGATCTTTTCCCTTTTTAAAATTGCTCTAAGCATTTCTTCCGGGAAACTACCTCTGTGGACTGCATTATTGAAAGTAAGGTCCAAATGTTTTCTCAGAAAGTGTTTATACATATGGAAAAATAAATTAGTGAAGCCGTCTGGTCCTGGTGTGTGTGTGGGTGCTGTGTATGTGTGTGGATGCTGTATGTCTGTGGGTGCTGTATGTGTGTGGGTGCTGTGTATGTGTGCTGTATGTCTGTGGGTGCTGTGTATGTGTGTGGGTGCTGTGTATGTCTGTTGGTGCTGTGTATGTGTATGTGTGCTGTATGTGTGTGTGCTGTATGTGGGTGGGTGATTGTGGGGATGGAGGTAGGGGTACATTACTTGCTATCCCCCCTCCCTTCTTACCTTTTGTAGGGAGGGGGGATCATGCTGCTGATTCCATCCCTGGTGGTCCAGTGGAGAGTGAACTCTAGCCCCCTATGGGGCTAGAGTTCACTCTCGCGAGATTTGAGCATTGCCATGGCAACGCTCATATCTCGTGAGAGGAACCCGGCGGAGCTGCCGGCAATAGCTCCGCCGGGTCCTCTCCTGCCTCCCTCCCTGCATGTGGGTCAGTGGGGAGGAAGGTTGAGAGCAGAGCCGGCGCTCAGATAGCGCCGGCTCTGCATGAGCCGACAGGGGAGATCCTGAGATCTCCCCTGCCGGTCTGAATACATAGGCATGCCGCAGGGATTATGGTGTGCCCAGGCACACCCGGCACACCCCGTGCGCACGCCTATGAGGCCACTTCTCCATGCTAATTCTTCTTGACTTCTCTGCCACCTTTGACACTCTTGATCATATCCTTCTCCAAACTCTTGGAACCCCCTGTCTCTGACACTGTCCTCTGGTGAGTTTCTCTACCTATTTCTACCAATGCTCATTCAGTGTCTACTTTTTCAATGACACTTCCTCCCTCATCCTGTCTCGGTTGGAGTCCCCAAGGTTCTGTTCTTGATCCCCTTCTGTTGTCACTTCATACTGCCTCTCTTGGCAAACTCATTATTTCCTACGGATTCTGCTACCACTTGTCATTGGGCTACCATCAGTCATTTGAATATGCAGAGGTTTAACCTTGTTATGTGACACCCCCCCTTTCCCCCTCCATCATATCTAACCCAATAGGACAAGTACACTAGGTATATGGGCTTTTATTAATAACAACACTTATAAATAACATACATTATTTAACCCTAACCTTTCACTCACTAACCTGCCGCTGTGAAAAATGGGAACCAAATCCCCAGGGACATCTAGCCCAGAGGGAGGGACAAATTCATCCAGGTAAGCAAGTTAAAATTGAACAATATTAAAATGGCTGCCTGTTTATACTAGCTCAACCAGGGCCGGACTGGGGATACAAAGCAGCCCTGGAATAAAATCTATGCCAGCCCCGCAGCACGGCGTGGAAAAAAAAAAAAAGGTGAGTAAAAACACTTTTTTAAACACACACAGGTACACACATGCACCATGACAGACACAGACACACACACACGTCATGACAGACACAAAACCACCTTTACAGACACACACACACCTTGGCAGACACACACACACCTTGAAAATAAGAGATAGTGGGTAGGCGCTTCACAAAATTGGAAATATAATAAAAGTGGTTGATATAACAGTGTTTCCCAGACACTAGATAAGAGTAAATATAAAAAGAAAAGGAATATATATCAAAACCACATAAAATAGAATCAGCCCAAAAACAAGTGGTGAAGAACAACCATAAAATACAACCTGTACGTTGAAGTATGGCAGAGTGTTATCTACAAAATATAAATACAGAACATAACATAGTGTATACTGTATATTACAAATGTATATAGAAAAAAGAGATGGACAACCACTCACATTTACCAGAGCCGTACCAGGCTCTGTATAGCAGGCTCACAGGTGCCAATTCAGGCTAACAGGATTCCGGATAATGAATGAAGAAAATTCCGTAGTAAAAAAGGGATATTTATTTATAAAAAATAATAATAAACAAACTCCTGGTTTTGAGGGGGTGGAACCCAATAACAGATAATATGTATAAAAAAGGTATCCACTTACCCTAACCAAAGTAACCAATGGAGTAGTATAAGAAAATTTAAAAATTGCAATACAAATAGTAAATAGCCACAATCAATAGCAGCAAACGCGTTTCGGCTTGGTAGCCTTCTTCCAGTGCTGTTCCTCAAGTCCTCGTGGCTTGTTTTAAATACATCCGGCATTTTCAATCACCTGTGTGTCGTTTTTCTTCCGCATGCGTCACTTCCGGTATTTTCGGACGATGTCACTTCCGGTTTCGTCAGTTGGAACGCATAATGGAACGCATATAGCGTTCCTTAATTTCCGGTATCGGAAAGAGACTTACGGTTTCATAAAAGGGCTCATAGTAAGAAGAGAAAAATATGTATGAATAAAATAGCAAACAACTATGAAGCCACAGAGTAATACATAAAATATTTGGCTAATCATATATTTATTGCTTATCCTTAACATATATCTATATAAGTAAGGGGAGGATCTAGGAGTTAGCAAATTATAGAGCAAAATGAGGAATATATAAACAGAAAAAGAAGTATAACTAATATTAAAGACCCAATAAAAAGGAATTATATAATATTATAAAAAATGAGAAAA